TTGTGACTTTCGTCTTGCTGGAGCACACTGTCATGTGGTAATTTGTCGCTTTTACTCAAGTGTGGAGACCACGTTTCCACGGACGATCGCGCCTGACGTTTGACACACATTTGTGAAGCAGCGTGGTGGAATCAGGCTCTGGTCAATTTTGGGGCATGTAGAGTTATTGCTATCATCTCAAAGCTTGTTCACTTGTCTTTATTTTGGATGAAAAAAATATACATTTATCTGAAAACAAGTCGGGGTATTTGCGAATGAAGGAGGTTGGGGTCACCAGCTTTCAGAGGTAAAATTAGTGAGAAAATGGCCGCCAAAGATTAGTTATTTCCTTAGATTAAGAGTCCGTGGTAACTGAAAATCTACATTTCTTGTTCCTTTAATCAACGTTTTTCAGAAAAATTCACACATAAATGAGTCCTTTAAAGGACATGAAAGGTTTTGAGCCAAAAAACAAAAATTTGATAAAAATTCCAAAACCTGCGGAAAAATGCAAGTGTCTTCACTTTGATTATTTTGACGAGAGCCTGATTCCACCACGCTGCTTCACATTTAGACTTTAAGGGGTGGTCGTTTTGTAAATAGGCCTACAGGTAGTTTGATCTAAGGTTAGAAGGATTATGTAATCTATGACCTGACCTACAAGTATAAGAACATGGACGTTTCTGGACAGGTTTGCGGTTGACAGGGAAGGTCGAAGCCCGTCTCCTAAACAATTCAAATTGTTTCGATGGAGACGTAGCAATCGTCTATACCTAAATATCTGATATAAAGAGGAACATTCAGAAACATATTCACGTGCCAGTCCGAGCGCACACACACATGCACACACACACACACATACACACAAGCACACACACACACATAAGATACATACAAACACACTCATACACGCACATACACACACATACACTCACATACACACACACACTCATATACACACATACAAACATACACACATACACACAAACACACATACACTCACACACACACTCAAAGTTCCACTGAGAAATAAATTTGAAAAATTCGTTTGAGAAAACCCGTCGGAGCCTTCTACAAGCTCAATAAAACTTGGGGGAAAATAAAATACTAAACTCAAAGTTAAAGCTGCGACTGCATAACTCAAAAAGTCAGTAATCCGGTATAGTTATGAGTTAAGCCTAAAGGGGAGTTTGACTACAAAATGCCTGCGGAAAATGCGTAACATTCATTGGGAAGAAATCATTTCGAACAAAGGGAAAGACCCTAACATGGCGCTCATATGACCTTACGCAATTGCGAGCGCCGTAAAACCTCTTCTAAAACAAAGACCCCAACAAGAGGTGCTGATATGCACCATAATCGTTAATAATGCAAAAGTTCAATGCGATAGATCGGCCATATCCCACGTCTTCCGAACACGAGAATTTCTCATTAGGCTGTTTGTTGGAAAATCGATGGGAAAAGAGGCAGGGGACGACCTGAAAGGAACTGCACAGGGAAAGCCATTCAATATAATAAATAGCGCAAAATCTGAAACTAGAAGGCAAGAAAGGGGTGATGTCCCCGCCTTAGCTGCTCTATGTAAGCCTAAGTTTGCGTGTGTATGTTTGAGTGATAATATTATATAAGAACGTACGTGTGTGTACGTGTTTGTGTATGCCGGTATACGTATGTGTGTGCTTTACTTTTGTGAGTCATTTGGACTGAATGTGAATGCGTATGCGAGTGTGTGTTGTTGAGTTTGTGTATGTGTGTGTGTGTGTGTGTGTGTGTGTGTGTGTGA